TTTTTGCTTTTCCTTTTCATCTAACTCTAAAATAAATTCCAAATGGATTATACTCTCTTATAGGGAGAAATCATGATCACTTGATTTTACTGTAAATTGATAATCAATGAATAAAATTCCTTTCCCACTGAGTTCTAACTCATCTTTATCACATCATAAGTTCATATGTATGTATATACAAATACATGTACAAACTTATTTATTATTATATATTGATATTTCTGGCTATTTCTATCTGGTTCTATTTACCATATGTCTGTTCTGGTAATAGTTCCATGCTGGATTGATTATTATAGATTAACGTTATGCTTAAATGTTAACTGTTTGGTAGGAATATTTTTTCTTCAAAATCATTTTAGTTATTTTTACTCATTTATTCTCACAATTAAAATTTTAAATATTATTTCAAATTCCAGAAAATACTCCTTTGTCATTTTGGTTGGAACTATACTAAGCCTGAATACAGATTAATTCAGAAAAGATTAACATGTTTCCTCTAATTACTTTTTCTGTCTACAAACAAGGGATGTCTCTCGATAAAGTTGTCTTCATATGTCTTTAATATTTTTTGGCTCAATTTATTCCAAGATATTTTCTATGTATTTTTGCAAAGAAAAGTGTCTCATTTCCCATAATTGTCAATGATTTCTAACATTGTGTGTAGGAAAGTTCTTAATGTTTTAATATTAATTTTATATTTGATCATCTTAAAGTAAGTACTTCTAGTTTTCAATTTACTGTCTTGAGATCAAATCATTTGAAAATAATCATAATACTTTTTCCTTTTTAGTAGTAATCTCTTATTTTTGTTTGTTGTTTTATCACATTTGTTAAAATTTATAGAATATTAGTAATAGTGCTAATAGGACTAATCCATCTCTGTAATAGGAATAACTATAAATATATAACCAGTTATAGGCTGAGAGAGATGTGCTTATCACGTTAAACGTTTATTCCATTTCTAGTTTGTTTTTGTACTTGTAACAGAAATGAGGGTTATATTTTAATCAAATGCTTTTACAGAATCTTATATTTTTCATTGTCTTACTTGACTTCTTAGTGAATTTGCAATGCATTTCCTAATATTAAGCAGTATTTATTTCTTTTAGATAGCTTAAAGGTACTTTATGTGAAGAAATTTGCTTTAAAACCATCTGCAGTGTTCAGAGACTCTCAAAATTGGATATTTGGAAAATTTGCAGTAAGTCCCTAAAATCAATAAGGTTTCTAAAGAAAAGAAAGTGCTGCTAAATTCCATCTCTATATCAGTCTCTGTAATCAGGCAAGTGTTTAGGTATGTTTCTTAGAATATTGAGCATTGAAATGGTTAGACCATTACCTCACTGTGAGTTTAGGGAAGCTGCTTCATTCAGGGAATTCAATCACAGCATGAAGGTTTGTTTGCATTAAATAATCCCAAAATTGATTCCTCTCTCAGATTCCCACAAATTCTATATGATTTTAATTGTGTCCTCTAGCCTAACAAAAATTCACCCACCAAGAGAAGCAAAGAGATTCAGAGACCACGGCATCACCTCTTTCTCAGGTTTTCACCTCTCTGCTCACTTTGTTTAAACTTTCCCCCTAAGTCAATGATAGAAGCTTCCTAAATGTCCCTTTCACCCGTGTCGCTTTCACCCACTGGGAGTGCCTCATGACAACTAAGTTTGTACTTAGTTGATCCTTGCCACTGATAATTTGGAACAGGTCTGACATACAACCTAAGTTTAGCTAGTAAGGTTCAAGTTTCCAAGAAGTTAGAACTGGGACCTAAAATACATATATGTTAATCTTAGCACATGTCCTGAACAAACAGCAACTAAATTCTAGAAATGTAGATGGTCTCCTGCTACCTACCCTGTGGACCCAGACATAGAGAAAACCAATATAAAGAGAACCAAACAAAGCAGACAGAGGGATATTTGGATTTCTGAGAGGTTTTAGTACTTATAACCACTTCTTTCCTTAGATCTTTCTATAGTCTGCCATGGGGTTTCTTGACACACCCTCATAAATCGTTCCTTTTAGCTTAAAGCAAGCTTAAGTTGGCTTCTGTTACCTACAGTCAAACAACCCTGATTAGTATGCCGCTGTGCCTACCCTGCCCTGCTCAACTATAGAGAAAGTAAGGAGACATCTCTGGAATTCTGTCCAACACTTTTTCTTTATGATGCATGAGGTTCTCACGGCAACAGAAAAATCTTTGATTCTATACAAGATGTACAGTATTAATATTTTATTGCCTATAGAACACACCAGGGTAAGGAATTGACATTGTTGCTTAAGTACCTGAAAAATCTGAACTCTTCTTTATTTTACGTTTTTCTTTTGATAAATCTTTGCATTTAAAAAATGTATAGAAATAGCATTTTGTTCAAATGGTAGCAATAAAAGTAATCCTTAAAGGCAGGCCTTTGTTTCCCTCCAGCTTCCCAAGTAAAATTTTGTTAAATAACATTGCTTATTAGGCTGTAAGAAAATTCATTCTCTCCTTAGAAATAGGTAAGTTTGCTTCTCTCATGTAATGAAACATACATTCCATTGAATGTCCCCTTATATTTTAGCTGCTTAGGAAGCTCAGAACTTAACGTAGTCCTTCATTCTGGTTACTAAATTTGTTTCTTCCCCCTTCAACGGTTTTGATGGTATACTTCTACGTGAATAGCCCTATGTGCTATTTTTTTTATCAGAAGCAGGCAAGGTATTAGTAATAAATGAATACTAACAGTAAGCCAATAATGAAATCAAAAAATTGATAAACATCCTGAAAATTACTGAAAATCAAATTATATATCCCATGATAATCTGCTTATGCTCAGGTCCCTTACCCTATTATTATTACCAGCTACTGGGACACAGGAAAATTTCAAGCTATTTGCAAAATAAATCTCCAAGGAGTTCAGAGAGATTCTCTTTTAAGTTCATACACTAAAATTCATGTATTTTCCATGATCCTCATCCGGAGTACACTTACTCTTGTATCAGACACAGTTCTATTATGCTTCAGTGGGTTCCTACTGCTTTCAAGATGAAGAACAAATCTTAAGAATGACCTGTAAGACATCTCATGATCTATCTGGTCCTGTCAAGTGCTTTACCCTTGTCCCTGACCCTCATCTCCAGATTCCAGCTCTCTCTAACTCCCTAGAATAAGGACGTATTTCCCTATTATAAACTTTTAGTCCAACACACCTCTTCTTTCAATACTCATTGCAGATTATATAATTACACCTTTGTGTGCTTATTGGATTGATATCTAAGTTCCCCAAGAAACATCTCTGTTTTGACTCTTTTTAACAGTAATATATCTTTAGTACCTATCATAATGCTTACCACATTCTATGTGATCAATAAATATCTCTTGACTAAGTTAATGAAATTTTATGTGTGTTTCTGTGTCCGTGGTAGATTGAAAAAAGCAAATTATGGAAGGGATCAGTCCAAAAAACAATCACAGCGACAGTAGTCTGATAATGTAGAAGGGGAAAAAACTGTAAAAAGTGGACAGAAGAGCTCAAAAATCATTGGACTCTAGAGGCAAATTGTCTTAATAATCGTTAGATATTATGATATTTGTCAGTAGTCTTTAACAGCATCATTATATTACAGTATAGTATAATAATTAAAGTCATCAAGGAAGGGTTAGGGCTATGGTTAAGAGAGAAATTGATAATTCAACTTTAGAATACTTTAATCCAGTGTTTCTTTAAAAGACTTCCCTGTCTTCTGGAGATGAGCTTCAGTTAATGAAAAAATATATTCATTTGCATTCCTCTTCCCACTTCTTAGCAATTTGGATAAATAAAGTGCTCCCCAACGTCATGTTAGGGTAAATAACGTATTGTATTGTAACACTTGTATTGTAACATTCCTCTTTCGCTCCATTTAATAATTGTAAGAAAATTATTTTCAAATTCCCCTTACTATTTATATTCTTAACAAAAGGAACTATGTTATGTAATGTTTCACCAAAATTCTGGTGAAAAAGAGGATACTTTGTGTTGAATGTAAACCTAATTGTGTCTCACGTTGCCTGAACAAAGCAAAAGAAGAAGCTTCCACTTGAATTCTAAATTGAAGATGACCTTGTGCTTTTTGGAGAAAGGCTGGCAGCTGAGGTCACTGGAGTGTATTATGATGGACAGTGCAGAGCCGTGCGTCCTGCTTGGAGGCATGTCTATTGTGTGGATTACAGCCAAATAGAAAGAATTAGACAGCTCAGAGCATTCTATCATTTCATTTGAAAATAATGGTCAAAGTCATGGGCAGCAACCATTACAACTTTCATGAAAGAACAGCAGAATTCAATAGTTCCATCACTTGCAACAGGCAATTTAGCTGTTCTCAGCCGAACACTATGAATCCAGCGTATTCTGTACCAATTTCTTGAGACGCTCACAGAAGCAGCATTTCTACTTCTGCAGTAGGCAAATCTCATCTACACTTGATTGTATGTAGTTCTACCTTACACCATGCAGCTCAGTGCTTCAAACTGACCCAATCATTGAAAGAAATACAATGAAAAAGATGCAGAAACTTAACACAGCACTCTTCGAATGTAAAAATATACAGCAACTCCAAATCACCCACTCTCCTCAAGTCATCTTATTGTTTAAAACGCTTAAAATAGGTTTCAAAACAAAATGTCTACAATTCCTTCTTTAATGACGGCATTAACAAAACATTTTCAAAGAAATCTAATCTGTTGTCAGTGGTTCCAAATGAGTCTCCTAAGTTACTTCTGAAATAGTGATATTTTGATTGATAGAGGCTTATTTTTAACTTCTGTTTCTTTCAGCAGCAGATTAATGCTAGCACCAAAAAAAATATGTTTGAGATTTAAAAGCAGGTGGAAAAACTCACACTTCTGATTAAAAGGGGAACTGCTTCTAATCCTGTACTTTCCACTCTGCTTGAGTATACTCTATATATAGGGGGGAAAAAAACACACCCTGTCCCTTCTAAAGTATTTAGATTAAAAAAAAAAAGTTGTGACTTACCATTAAAATTTACAGCCCGAATATAACCGAGTAGTTCTTTCCCATCAATGGTACTCATTCGTGGGCAAAGGCCAACGTATCCAGGGCAGAGATCTTTGTGCATATTGTGCAGGGCATAAGCCATGGAATACACAGCATCAATTACAAATTGGACCTTTCCTTCCTGTTCGTAAGATGAATCCCGAGCAATTCGCTCCAGGCCTGTAAAAGAAAAGGGAAACCATCAACTGGGGTTAGATTTCACTAAAAATTTGGCATGAGGGCTAAGATTTTCATCACTTGAGGCACACATAAATGAGATAAAACTATTTGATTTTACTCCTGATTATTTTAGTCCTATACTTACTGAGTCAGGTTTTTAAACTGGGTATTGAATTTTTTATTGTGAAAGAACAGAAACTATTTTATTAGCAACAAAATGATATAAAGTAATTAAAAGACATATAGTTTCATTATCTTCATTTCTACCTTATGAGCTCTATTATACTGTACATGCTGGTAATTACCTAGCATTTTGGTAGTGATTTGATCTTTTAAGTAAAATGTGTACACTGTTGTTTTTCTCATCCACCTTAGCTCCAACGGCATCATTTAATAAGTGGCCCAAAGTAAGATCTCCCCCTCCATCCCATGTCTAACCTTGTTTAGAATGTGCTCTGTTTGGGAGCTCTTTTTGTAAATATTAAATGACAGTATTTCCTTAAATGAACTGCTTATCTTTAGAAGAATCATTCAATTTATTTTCCTCTTGAACTCAACTTTTTACTTGTTTCTATTGTTTAATTTTTTCCAGCTTATTGATATATAATTGACATGTAACACTGTGTAAGTTTAATAAATACAACACGATGATTTAATACACATACATGTTGTGAAATGATTACCGCCATAAGGTTAGTTAACATATCCACCACCTCACATAGTTGCCTTTTTTTATTCCTTGTGGTGAGAACTTTTAAGATCCAATCGCTTAGAAACTTTCAAGTATACAACACTGTGTTGTTACCTATAGTCATCTTGCTGTACATTAGATAAAAGATGTAGAGCTCTCAAAATGAATGTGATTCAGAATAATTGTACCTGTTTTTAGGTATATTTAGGGCTGAGAACTGGCACTGGAGATTACCTTTAGCTTGGCCTTTGTCATTTAACATGTAATAGAAACATAGAATTAAAAATGGAAGATAAAATTGATGTTAAAAGTTAGATGGTGTATAATTAGTTATAAGCCAACATTCTCATTTTGAAGATGAGGAAACTCAGTTTGTGGAGGTGAAATTCACTTAGGACACACAAAGCAGACACAGGAACAACTGCCAGGTCTCAGATATTGAAATCCAATATTCTCTCAATCTCCAGGAAAATGGGGTAGATGGCAAGAATGCTGGACATGCAAGAAAAAAAACCGACAGATAGGACATTGAGGACTTATTAAGGAGACCGAAAAGGATCTATCATTTCCACATTCCCCCAAACCTTATACATCTGGTACCACTGGGAGAGACCAAAAGCAAGCACTTTAAATCTTCCCATAAATGTCAGTTAGTAAAGTTTAATAAAAGTCTTTAAGTTCAACAAATATTTCCTTTCTTCACAAAAATGCATATTTCCTCTAAATTTAGAGACGTGAATTAAGATGGTTGTCTTATATTTGGGTTTTTACACTCTGACAAAACCAGTGACTTTCCTCTAGACAAATGTAGTGGTCAATTCATTCATTTTCATTAATCAGATCATTGAACCTTTTTTCCTCTGGTCTCAATCACTTGTTCCACTCAGACCCTTTGAATGCTGTTTGTTGGTGCTCTACTCCCTGCAGTCTTTTGTGATGCTAAATTCTACTCCTCCCTTTTCAACACATCTTTTCAGACTTTTTTGATGACTCAACATTCCATTCCCCAAGACTGAGTCCTCTTTTACTTTTCCCAACCTCAGAATCCATTCATTCTCAACTATTACTATTACTAGGGTCTAGAAATAGAAACTGGAATCCAAAATTTCAGTTATAGAGTCCAAAACATTAGATCAACTTATAGCATCAATTTAATTCACTGTGGAATCTAGCTTTCTGGACTTTACTGTCACCTAACTTGCACCCCACATTTCCAATTGCATACCATATTTCTATTTAGCCTGCTTCCATATCAAACTCATAAGATCCAAAACCAGGCTATCATTGTAGGGAATTACATTATTATTTTCTTAAAACCTCCTACTGAGGATTTGGCAGGCTTAGGAACACAAAGAGAGAAGGCTGATCTAACAAAGAACCTCTTTGAGGTGCCAAAAGGTATACTGTCTCCTTCAACCTGCCTTAGTTGAGTGATCTAAGCTAAGATCCATGCAGATATGGGGATCCTAGGACAGTACTGTGTATGTCCAGAACATCACCAAGTAACCTATGAAAGCAGCACTTTCAGCTTTCCATAGTTTTAACCACAAAATAGACAACTCATATATAAATACTGATGAATGGTCACAGAAACCAACAACATTCAGTTAAATCTTTAAAGACCTTATCTGGTGACAAATGGCTCTGGTTAGTCCAGGACTGAGGAGTTTTTCAGGATGTAGGATCACATCCTGGACAGTCCTGGGCAGACCAGCATGGTTGCTTATGAACAAGGAGGCAAATGGTGAGGGAAATTTAATGATAAAAGACTGAAATAACTACACTGAGGGTAGGTCCCTAGGTCTATATGGAGAGATCCTTGTGTTTCATTTATTTTGCATCACTGAACTTGATAACTGAAAAGGAAGACTAGGCATCCCAGAGCAGTTGTTCCCATCTTAGTTATCTTCTTAAGTACAGATTCTGCAGTGCCATCCAGACTTAATGAATCAGAATCTCCCAACTTGAGGACATGAATAATCTGTAATTTCAAAACATAGATATCTAACTGTCTTAGTCAGTTTGGGCTACTATAACAAAGTACCACACACTGGGTGGCTTGTAAACAACAGGAATTTATTTCTCAGAGCTCTGAGTCTGGACTTCCAGGCTCAGGATGCCAGCATGGACAGGTTCGGGTGAAGGCTCTCTTCTGGGCTGCAGGTGGCTGTTTTCTTACATCCTCAATATGGCAGAAAGCAGAGAGGAAGTAAGCTCTCTTGTGACTCTTAGAAGGGCACTAATCTCATTCATGAGGGCTCTACCCTCAAGACAGTATCTGATCCTAATTACCTCCCAAAGGCCCACCTCTAATACCATCATATTAGGGGGTAGGGTTTCAACATAGGAATATGGTGGTGGGGGGGGAACACAAGCATTCAGTCTATAGCACTCATATTCCAGGTTACGTTGATTGTACTGCTGCTCTGTAAACTCTTCTGCTGCATGCTCACATGCAAGCAAACACACACACACACACACACACTTTAAAGAAAAAAGAGGAATTCCATGTCTCCATTACTAAAGGAGTATGGTCAGCAGTCATAGGATTGGCAGAAAATGCCAAAGCCAAATTGATTCAAAGAAAGTAATGACCATGAGAACTTAAGGCATTTGGAAATTTTCCACAATCCATGGGATATATGGACAAGTTGGATGTATATGAATATTTTATATTTTTAAATTCACTCTATCCCCAAATGTTCTGAATTTGACATACTAGGATTTTATTTTAATGCTACTGCAACCTCCTAGAAGTCTGTAAGATATTTCTGAGCATTCAATAATTGAGATAAAGTTATATACAACAATTTCCTGATATACTTTTAATATAGATACCCCAACTTAATAGACATACTCTTCCTCGGATTCCTCCCCAATATTTTTCCACCTTCATGTATAATGGATTTATATTAATTCTGAAACACCACACACCATCTTATTAAAGGAAAATATGTAAATTTTCACTAGTCAAACTACTTCCTTGCTAGTTATAAACTACAATTAGTTTGAGTAAAGATTAAATATATACAACTTTTTTCTTTTAAAGTAAAAGTTCATAAGGCTCTCTAGTAACTATTGCCACACGTCAAAGACACTATAAGACATTTTTCATAAATCAATGTATATACGTGGTGACAAACTAAAAGACTGATCACTATTACCATTTCTAAATTTAAAAGGAAATTATCTGATTTCTTTTCAGGCTGTTTAGACAAGGTATTTTTCTATTCCCTAAAACTTCAAACTCATAATGACACAAGATTTTACGGGATCTAGAGTTTGCCCCTCATTTCCTATATCTGCTTCTCTTGATCATCTGAGAGAATAATTTAGGAAGCTGACAGTGACTCATCAACTTAATTGCCTGTAAAATTTCATTATGCTATCCTTTCTAAAGTTAGCCTTACTGTATTGCTACAAAGTGCTAAACATTGTTAAAGCCTGTATGTCAGCCATCCATTTAAAACACTGATTGTAAAGTTGGGATGTGTTTTAGTGCACAGCTTAAAATTAACAACATATAGCTAAGAGTTTGTGTGGTGGGAGATGAAGTCAGCCTCATAAATCTTATTAGCAAGATTGTTTTATGTTTTCATTAATGAAATCTAAAACCCTGACAGTATCTCTGTCCCTGGAACACACAGTAAATTCTTATTGGTCCGAGCAATACCACATGGACCTCAGTTAAGGTCTTTTGCACATCAGGGTGTATCTTTTTTGGTTTTGTTCCTTCTTAGCAAAAAGCAAATCTGCTGAAGTTTGCAAAGTGCTGTATATATTATAATGTGAGTTCCTAAGATGAACCTGACATGAATTTTAAATTCTTTGACTGACACATAGTTTTTGAGCTTTGCTTTCTAAGAATTTCTCATTTCTCAGAAGATAGCTTAGTTTTGTAAACTGAGATACTAGGGGCTATTTTCCTTTTCCTGAAATTATTATAAAACTCATAATGTTACTGCAGTGATGATCTAATAAACAGTGGTCAGTTCAGTGGGAAAAAAATGTAAGTCAAATTAGTCCTTTTATTCCCAGGAAAGCAAACATCCAATTGGTTGGATTTTTTACTACAGTCTTACCAGGCAGTAGAAATAATCCCACACTCTAAATTTGTAGGTTAAAAATGATTTCTTTATTTAGCTCCTCCCTGACTTTTTCTTAAGTATGTAGCAAGTATTTTAAATAATTCAATCATTTTCTTGCAGTTGCTGTGAGGAGGATGGTAAGAGGGAAGAAGAGAATTTGTCAGCTGCTATGAATAAACACATTTATGCATACAGGACCAAATTGAAAAGTCATTCTGAATTCCACAAAAACTCCATTTGCCTTACTCCTTGATACACCAGAGATGAGACTGTCACACTCAGCATTGAGCTTTCCCGATACCGCATATGTAGGCAGTGACGCAGAGTGGGTAAAATTCTTACACGCGTGAGAATGATGCCAAGAACTGCACTTCACACTAAAAAGTAATTGCTATCAGGTTAGCAAACATAAGTCATCTTATACTGAATTTAAGTTGGTTTGGTATCAAGGACACAGTGGAGGGAGGATGGAAAAGAAAGATTAGCATGTTCAGTAATTCAGGAATATCTCCTAGGCGCTAGGATACGCAAAGGAAATGTGTGCACCTCCCAAACCGCAGAGGGATGAAAACATGGGCCCTGTAAGGCAGAAGGACAGACTGAGTAAAGGAGGCTGCTGGCACGGGAGAAGAGGACGGGCCAGTCAGACAGACCTGCATTCAAATCCCAGTTGCACAACTCAACAGGCCCGGGACACTTTCCTGAACCTCACCAAGCCTAGGTCTTCAACTGGAAAGGTTGCCCGCAGGGACTTCCAAGACAGGGTCCCCATCTCTCCAGCCTCAACTGCTGGTACCACCCTACCTCTCTCTTCTCCACTTTCAGGTCCTTGAATATAACCTGAGATCTTCAAACCACGGGACTTCACTTAGATGTTCACTCTGTAACTTTCTTCACTGCTTCCCACAGGTCTCCTTCTCAACCTCCAAGCTTCAGGTAAGATGTCAACTCAAATTCGGCTGCAGTAGTGATAGTTAATCATTTTATTTTCGATTTAACAGCTCAGATCAGGTCAAAGAGCATCTTAAGTGCTAGGTTTAAGTACTAAATATTGTTTGGTTGAAAACAGAGAGCCAATACCGGTATTTAAAATTATTTCTGGGAATTATGTGTAAAGTAAATCGAAACAAACATAAGTTGCGGGTAGAGATACAGGTTGGGAGGCAGGGCAGCAATAGGTTGAAACAGTGGAAAAGAAAAAGATGAGAGAAAATATATTTCAGATGTCAAATTAACAGTCTTTGGATACCTAATTAAATGACAGTAGGAGTTGGAGGCAAACAACAACTCAGCAGTTTTGAGGATAGGTAGTAGAATATTGGCACCACTAACAGAATTTGGAAAATCAGGTGAAAAGCAAGGCTCCATTTATGGCAGTTAAAAAGACTGATTCTTAAGATTCTATAGTATTGTATCCTCTAACAAAATATAAACTTTATATAAATTTGTTGAGTTATTTAAAGAATAAAAGTCCAAATGTTTAGAGTAATCACATAACAGTGATATGGTTGATTATTTATTTATAACACTGCAATAATTTATGCCACCTTGGAGTGAAATACCTTATGCGGTACTGCCTTAAGACAAATGGTTTGAGAATTCAAAGACCTACGTTCCAGTTCTAACACAGTGACCAACTGAATTTGTGTCCTTGGTCAAGTCATGATCTCTCTGGCACTTATTTACTTCTCAGTAGAAATTAGAGGACTGAACAAGATGATCAATCAGGGTCCCTTCAGTTCTAAAATTCTAGATTCTAGGGCAGCTTATTTCTGTTTCCTTCTTACACTTTCTAATATCACTTGAAGATTGCATTAGGGTGTGACTGAACAAATACCACTAAACTCAATTCTCCAAAATAGTTAGGACTATCCAGTAACCAAGACCTGGAAATTCTGCACTAACAACAACCAAAAAAGAAAACAAAAACCAAATGTCAGCCTGGATTTTTCTTCTTGAATTCTCAGACTGATTAACTGAGTCACTACATTTTCATTATTCTTAGACTTGAGCTATATATCAAATCTGGTTCCTCACAAAGGAGAAATGTTTTCATTTATCTTTTTATTTTTATCCCATGGTTAAAAGAATCATTTATGGAAAATCAATTATGAAGACATGAAAGGGAAGAGGGAGGACACAAATAATTAAAATGGGCAGGACTCTTTACAGATAGCTTCTCTTTGATCGTAAATTATTATTACTCCTTTCATCTTCCTTTTTTTTTTTTTTTCACAGATAATGGAACTAAGACTCAAAAAGTTGAATCATTTCCCAAATATCACACAGTTATGGCAGAAACAGTCAAGTCAGGTCTGACCCCAAACCTCTGCCATTTACTGCTTAACTTCCTCTCCTCCTGAAGTTTTCTTTCATTCTTCCAGCTCGGGCTTAACTTTCACTTCTTCGAACTCCTGTTTAACGTTCAGCCATTGTATCCACGATTTGTCTGTCTCCCACTTAAGTATAAAGATTGTGTGTTCGTGTGTGTGTGTGTGTGTGTGTGTGAAACTTTAAAGAGAGCAGTGGAGCAGGGATTAAAGAATATTATAAAATAATACATATTTTTACAAAAATAGTAACTAATAAATACTAACAAATATTAACAAATGACAATATCTACATTGAAACGCTAAAAGGGGGGAATATATTTCTATAACATTTTGAGCATTTTTCTGAACTACAGAGAAAATTTTTGTTTGTGAATTTCAACCACACACCTGAGATAAAATTGGCATAAAATGGCTGAAACTCATAAGCAAGATGATTGGATATTTGTAGTGAAATCCAAGCTAATAAGGCCTATAACTTTATATTTATAAAAATTAAAAAGGGTATTTTAGCATTGGAGAGTGAGAGTGTGTGTATATTTATATGTCTAGAGGATTTCTATAGGAAAATAACATCAAGCTCAAAAGAGAATTCGACACCTAACGTCCTGCTTCATAGATTCTATAGTAGGCTTTCTCAAGGACCTGTATAAATACATGTATTAGACTAACCAACTAACTTGAGCCTTGGCTTTACCTATTTACACAGGACAAAGAAAATGAGAAGCGTCCTCCCGCTGAAAATCACCTGCTCTCCATCTTCTTCTGTAATTTAAATGTAGTCCCAAGAACTGAAGGCTCTTGGCTGCCTGAGGACACATCAGGAGACACTTGTAAATCAACCAGTGAAGAGCGTTACAGTAGCCCACAATAACTTCTCTCCTTTGTCCCTGGCAGGAAATGGAAAATGCTCCCGGCAGGTGCCAGGTGTCCCCTTCAGGAGTTACATTTTCCATGCAATGTCCTAGGGTTTTTAAAACACTGAAAAACCTAAGGTAAGTGGCAAATAAGTTTAAGAGCGTATCTTCAGGCAAAACTAAAAGAAAGATGTTCAGAAGAGAAAGTCATTTCATATGTATATCCCTAGATCCCCAAAGAAAAGGCAGTTGATTAAATTCTAACAGTTGCATTTTTCTACATAATCATCTTAGATCATATACATTAGAGACAAATTTTGATTGAAAATAGTGTGTAAAACTCTTAATAGTAGAGTTCACAGTTAAGAGAACAGCTTTTCTCTTTAAATTCCCCCTTCAGTGGGTAGGATTTCTAATGCCCCACCTTCCACCCCAAAATATGTTATACTTGTCATTGCAGACCCTATGATACGGCTTAGGATTTGCCTTAAAAAATTTTTTTTCCTGTTACAAAAGTAAATCACAGCTTTTGTAGAAACGTGAGGGGGAAAGTATTGGGCTGGCCAACAAGTTCATGCGTTTTTTTCCTAAGATGGTTCTAGTAGTGCTTAGTTGTCTTTAACTTCATTCGAAACAATTTTGTTAGATTGTATGTGACAGCTGTCACATCAGCGTGCATTTAAAAAAACACTTATCAAAATTGGTGAATTTTTGTGTAGCCATTTTAATATTGAAAATGGAAGAAAAAAGAAATGTTTTCGGCATATTATGCTTTATTATTTCAAGGAAGGTAAAAATGCAACTGATCCATCCAAAAGACGTAATTTTTTTTTTAACGCCAGATACAGGCTTTTGGGTTAAAACCTTGCTTTTTACATTGCCTTAAGTATAAATAGTAATCTTGGAGTGGCTTCAGTTCATCATTTGGGCTGCTCATTCTTCCACAGAGGAAAAAGAAATTATATTGGTTTCCTCAGCCTTCCTTCACCCTGTAATATTTTCATCCCATGTTTGCCTTGTCTCACTCAAAAAAAGGTTTCTAATGTAAAAAAAAACAAAACAAAAAAAACAAAAACACCACCGAAACTCAAAATAAGATTTGTGCAGTGTACGGAGAAGGTGCTATGACTGATCGAACATGTCAAAAGTGGTTTGCAAAGTTTTGTGCTGGAGATTTGTCGCTGGACGATGCTCCACAATGTCAGGTAGACCAGTTGAAGTGGAAGCGATCAAATAGAGACATTAATTGAGAACAATCAACATTATACCATGCAGGAGATAGCCGACATACTCAAAATATCCAAATCAAGCACTGAAAATCATTTGCACCAGCTTGGTTATGTTCATCTCGTTGATGTTTGGGTTCCACATAAGTTAAGTGAAAAAAACCCTTCTTGACCGTATTTCCGCATGCGATTCTCTACTTAAACATAATGAAAACACTCCGTTTTTGAAACAAATTTTGATGGGCGATGAAAAGTGGATACTGTACAATAATGGGGAATGGAAGAGATCGTGGGGCAAGCGAAATGAACCACCACCAACCACACCAAAGGCCGGTCTTCATCTGAAGAAAGTGATGCTGTGTATATGGTGGGATTGGAAGGGAGTCCTCTATTAGGAGCTCCTTCTGGAAAACCAAACGGTTAATTCCAAGTACTGCTCCCAATGAGACCAACTAAAAGCAGCACTGGACGAAGTGTGTACAGAATTAGTCAACAGAAAACGCATAATCTTCCATCAGGATAAAGCAAGACCGCATGTTTCTTTGATGACCAGGCAAAAACTGTTACAGCTTGGCTGGGAAGTTCTGACTCATCCGCTGTAATCACCAGACATTGCACCTTCAGATTTCCATTTATTTCAGTCTTTATAAAATTCCCTTAATGGAAAAAATTTCAATTCCCTGGAAGACTGTAAAAGGCGCCTGGAACAGTTCTTTGCTCAAAAAGATAAAAAGTTTTGGGAAGATGGAATTATGAAGTTGCCTGAAAAATGGCAGAAAGTATTGGAACAAAAGAGTGAATACGTTGTTCAATAAAGTTCTTGGTGAAAATGAAAAATGTGTCTTTTATTTTTACTTAAAACCCAAAGGATCTTTTTGGCCAACCCAATATAAAGAAGGAAATAGAGAGTATCTATTGGCCCACCGTGCTAAGCACTATTTGCACACTGGTCTATTGCCTTACAGCATTTCTTTCTCTCTTTATTTATAAAAATTAAGATAACTCTGTATGTACTTTTAAAATATACAATATTCACTTGACCTATAGTGAGAATTTCCCCGTATTGTAGGAAAGCATGGTTTTTATAGCACTTGTATTATATATAGCTCACTTAACGGATTCAGGTTTTTGCATTTAACTCCTGACACCCAAGATGATATTTGGTGCAAGGTAGGGATCTAACTTTATGTGTTCTAAATTGTGAACCTATTCTCCCAGACTACTGAATGAATGTTCTTTTCCCCATTAATTTACATAAAGTCGCTTTTAACACTTATCAGACGCATACATTATTAGATATATAAATGTGGAATTTCTGCTCTAGTCTGCTGGTCTCTTAACATGCCAATACTCCCTTTT